GCACATACGCCTCAGCGTGACCGCGCGCTCACGCTAGCCAGCCTTCGCCCATCTCAAGGTCACTCCATGCCGCTAGTCTATACATTAGCCGCACGATTGGCTGCTGTAACAAAGCATGCGCCGGCGATTCCTGAGGCTCTCGTCACTCTGGAATTGACGCCCTGGCAGCCGGACTGCTGTCATCCGAGAGTCAAAACTCTTTCCATATACTCTCCGATCCTTCTACAGAATACACAATTCCTAACAATCTGGCTTTCCTACCGTGTTCTCTCTTCATCTAAAGGAACCATTTGCCTGGAAGATCGTAACTGTTTGTTATCCATCTTAGAATTAACAAATTTCGACTGGTACTTGTTCCAGCGCTTTGTTATGGGATTCGCTGATTCGCGTTTATTGGCGATTTATTAAGGCAAGATGCTGTCCTCACGGCCCGACGATGGCGAACGTTTTTCCTTCGTGAGTCCTCATCCTATGCACCGATGGCGTTTTCTGCAACGGCGTCCTGAGAAAAGCATGTTGTCGATAAGTACGTTACATAAAAATCCCCGGTAAACAGCGAGTTCGCAGGAGTCGCCATTTTTTTCAACACGGGAGAAGAGGGATTCGTGTGCTCCTTTAAGACTGTTACGCGAGGTTGCGCAAATACTGTCAGATAATAAACCAATATAAGCACTTCTACCTATACAGCAGCAAATGCCCCTGGAATAAGGCCTCTAGTGATTGGCAAGTATTTACAGAGGAAAGGAGCAAAAGGGGTCTGCAAAATATCTGATTAAGTGATTCGTTGACAGTCAGTTTAACATTGAGTAAATCGTGATTTGGGAAAGTGTCCATAAATGATCACAGTGTTTTTGCTCACTTATACTAATCAGCCATTGTCTTAAAATCTTACTAGCCACGAAATGGGGAGAACAAGGTTTTGGCTACCACATTAGGGGTTAGAAAGCCACGGTTGGATCAGCTAAGCTTACATGCAATATTTTGTTTTTTGCAGAATTGCCGTCTGAACAAGTGTGTAGGATAGAGACCGATCACACTGACCTAGTCGCTGCCTATGATTGGGCGTTATAATACTCCCCCACAGACATTATAACAACATTAACTTGATTCTCCGGTTACTAGTAAATACCTCTATTATCCAGGCTACCATCAGATAAGGTTTTCAACTCCTGTTGTTTCACATGTTGACAGTAGACCCTTCTACCTATTATACAGACACAGGGCAACCGTTTCGGGACCCCAACCGAATAACAGTTTGATTTAATCTAATACACAAGATATGTACCCTTGCGCTCGCCAGAATTCGGGTTCCATGGCCTTGGCCTCCCACATAGGCATTCCTGTAATAAATTTGCTCTAATATCCATCTGCTCCAAGTACCCTTCGTCGACTCTGTAGTTCAGAAGGCAGGCTGACTCGGATGGAGGGAACTGCCAGGTAATTCCTGCAGAACCCAAACACACCTGCGGTGCAAGCTCAGAGATTTGTGGCTCAATTGTGTTAAAAAAGGCAAATATCACTAGATTTGCAGCATTTAATGACGTCATCAAATTTCATTACCACTCATTCACATACAGACGATCGTTGCCTATTAATAAGATAATTAACTGTCCAATTAAGTGTCAGCCTCGAAGGCTGAAACTTTATAGGTGGACGAGGTTGATCACATGGTCCAGCTGCTTACAGAGTCCTGGTTTTCTTCTCCGTATTGCAGCGGCCTCCGCAAAGCTTAGTAGGCGCCCAGTCGTCGTCCGAAGTACGACATTAAATGCAGTCATTTGGTCGACTGTATGGCCAGTGTACAGTAAGTGCTTCGAGATTGAACTCTGAGGCACTTTATGTTCAGCTCTGAGCAACCACTATTTTTTAAAAACGATACGTGGATGATATTTTTGCCGTAGTCGAAAACCCTAAGGAGGGAGAACTGCTTCTTAGAGCTATGAACGAAACGCATGCAAAGATCAAATTTACGGTTGAGCATGAGAAGGAAGACACACTGACTTTCTTAGACGTGCTTATCCGCAGGCGTGCAGATGGTTCCATTCAAAGATCCATCTATCGGAAAACCACGTGGAAAGGACAATAGATGCACTTCCTTAGTATTTTTCCAATTCAGAGGAAACGAAACTTGGTTTTGTGCCTTTTCAATAGAGCCACTAGAATCTATTCTTCGGATACGATAGATGAAGGGATGATTTTTCTCAAGAAATTGTTACTTGGAAACAACTATCCTGAGAAATTCATTGAAAAGTATCAAAACCGCAGACTGGAAATTATTCCTGAAATATCAGAGGTCACTGCCAAAAAAAGCCGGTGAGCATTTTCCTTCATTTCAGGGGTGATAATGTCGCGAACGTGATAAAACGGAGGCTGCGATGCACAATTAAAAGAACGTATCCCGCCGCAAAATTGTTCTACGCAAGCACAACAATGACTATTACAGTTGGACCAACTAAAGAACTTCTGCCTATGCACGCCACTTCAAATTGTGTTTACGAGTTAACATGTATTTGCGGATGCAAATACATCGTGTTCAACCAAAGGCAGTTGGCAACGCGGTCAGCTGAACACATACCAAAGTGGTTGCACCGGACGGAACATAAAGTACCCAAGAGTTCAATCAAGAAGCACATAGTGGACACTGGCTATACAGTCGACCAAACGACTGCATTTAATGTCGTTCTTCGGACGAGGACTGGGCGCCTCCTACGCTTTGCGGAGGCCTCTGCAATACGGCGAAGAAAACCAGAGCTCTGTAAGCAGCTGGACCATGTGATCAACCTCGCATTGCCGTGGTAACGACCGATAAACTAATTACTGCTTACGCCTCCTTGTCACCCGTAGGACTGACCGCTACCTTGTACCCTGCATCAA